TAATTTTTGTTTCATTTAGTGCTTTCATTTTCTTTCTTTATGCCTCACATCTGAGTGAAATCATAAGATGTCTGTCTCTCTCCATCTGACCAACTTCACGAAGGTTAATACCCTCCAGGTCTGTCCGTGTGGTTGCAGGTGGCAGGATTTAAATAAGTCTGTTTAGTGTGTAAATGGAAGGAAAATTTCTTTTCTCTGCAGTTTGATCCAAAGTTTTTCCCATGTCACAAACTTTCAGCAGCTATGGCAGTGCCCAGTGGCATCAGAACTGCCAGAGCAACACTTGATCTGCTCCAACTGCATTCGCTGCTGCACATTCAGGGGCGCGTGTCTGCTATGCTGCCTTGCTCGAGCATTTAGACATTGACACACTTGACTTGTCGTAAGTTACTTCTGTTTTCCCTTTCCACGTCAGTCAGGACATTACATTTTATAATAACTTATTTATTAAGGGTATTTTATAAATAAGATGGATGGAAGGACAGACAGACAGAAAAGCAGGTAGACTGATAGATCATTGGAAAAACAGACAGATAAGGCCTCCCTGGTGGCACAAGGGATTAAGCACCGCACTATGAAGCAATCTGCAGCCTCTGCAGCACAAATTCGATCCTCAGCCAGCCAGGGAGCAATCCACATGGCACAGCAGACCTCTCCTGTAGCACCCGCTGCTCCCCTCAGCAGTGTATTTCATCAGTCTGCCTGTTCTGTTCCCTGCTCTGTCTCTGGTGGATCCTCTCGCCCCCTACATCTCTGGCCTTTACCCCAGCTCTTGTATGTATAAATAAATAAATCTTTAAAAAAAAATAGACAGATAAGATAGACAGACACAGAGGCAGGCAGGCAGGTAGGTAGGTTGGTTGGTTGGGTGATTCAAAGAGCACCCCAGGTCTCCTGGAAGTGACAGCTACAGCCTCGTGGAGCTCTTGGTTCAGGGACGTCTTTTCTGATGGCTGGAAACACCCTGGGCTCTCTGTCCCTCATCGTGCCTTGTTTCCCTGGGCTTCTTAGCTTGCCTAGAGCCGGTATGTGTCGCTGAGCCCCTTTATCAGAGCCTCTGAATGCAGCACAGCTCTCTGGTTTATCCTTGCAGGACTCTTTAGACTATGTTAATGTGATACTGTCCGTGTTCTTACTGTTTTATTTTTTTTTTTCAGTTGTACCATTTTTTGAATTGTGGTAACCTGGTTTCTAACACTGTATGTAATTTAGGGGTACAAGTTCATACCTCTTCAGGTGCATGTTGCTACACCACACCCCCCACCAAGGCACCCACAGTGTCCATCACACTTCCTCCTTCCTACCCCTCCGGGCGCCTCAGTTCTGTGGTAGGACCTGTAGGGTTTGTTTTGATCGCACTCTGTCTGTTCCTTTGTTTCTTGATATTCCATATATGCATGAAATCATCTGCTATTTGTCTTTCTATAGTTTTTAAACATAGTTATCAAATAATTGCTTTGGTTTGAGAGCTAAGACTTAACTTAGTGACAGGCACGTCATTTCTGAACTCAATTTAACATGGACAAAAACGCCTAAATGAGTAGTCATTCAACAAACACTCTGTCATCTTTTCAGGGAAACATAATGTAATTCTTCAAGTCAGAAAACCCACATTTTTGGGTTCTCCGCCTCTTTTCCTTTTGTGTCTTTGAGCTTTATTTTTAAAGGAAGCTTATGCTCTTAGACACAACATCGCTGCTTGTGGCTCTCCCCACCATGGAAGCTGTGTTGGCGGAATGAGATCCTCACCAGCCAAGGTTAACACAGGAAAAAAAAAGCAAAGGTTTTATAGAACCCACCACCCCCACCCATATACACGCTCTCGCACGATAGGGTTTGGAGAAGGGGTGGGGTTAGGAGGTGGGGGAGAGAGATGTTCAGCTGTTTAACTTTTCCAAATGAACTAAAGAGAAGGAAAAATTCCAAATAAGTAGGGTTCACAGGCCAAATAAACTCAAAGTATGACTAAAACCTCATTGTGGTATGTTAGAGTGAATAAAGGATCGTATAATTTATGGAAATGGAAACTGACTCTTGGCGGAAGCCCCATGAAGGAACTTCGCAGGTAGCCTGGCACCGCTGCCTCTGACCCTGTGTCTCCATTCTCAGGGGCACTCATGTGACCTCCTCTTTGGCAGCCTCAAGTTCCTAAGGCTGTGTTTGTGTCGCTATAACTCCTAGCGTCTCCCTTGCGTCTGTCTCTTTTCTTTCTTAGGTTACAAATTTTTATTTTTTTTATTTTTTCAACAGCCTTGTTTATTTTTTCATATAGGATTTCTCCCCTCAGGTGGGGGTCCCCACAACTTTATTTTTTAATTATTATTTTTTTAATTTTATGTATTTTTTTACATCATTTTTCATTTTTGCACAATGTATGCATTTTCATCTTGGTTATAGTCCCCATGCAATTCCCACCCCCCTCCTTATTTTAACCCTTATCCTTCCCCCTCTACCCCTCCCCCAGTGTGTCTCTGATTTATAGTTGCTTGTTGGTTTTGATTTTTTCTTTATTATAGTTATTCTTTTTCCTGGTCCCTTATTTAGGTTTTCTAGATTCCTGCTATGAGTGAGACCATCCGGTATTTTTCTTTTTCTTTCTGGCTTATTTCGCTGAGCATGATCCCTTCCAGCGCCATCCATGTTGCTGCAAATTGCATGTGTTTATCTTTTTTGAATGCTGAGTAATATTCCATGGTGTATACGTACCACATCTTCTTGATCCAGTCCCACAACTTTAAAGCACCCACAGTCCTCCACCACCTTCCGACACCCTCCACCACGTACTGTCCTGTCTACCCCAACTCCCCATCCCCACTTCTCTCTCCCTCCCTCCCTCCTGTCTCAGATCTAAGCTGGCTGCTTTCAAGGGTCAGTCTTACAGCTTGTCTGATCCTTTGTTTGCTTTCTCTCGATTCCACATAAAAGTGAAACCCTCCAGTATTCTCTTTCTCCTTTAGCTCATTTTGCTTAGAATAATCCCTTCCAGTTCCACCTAGGTAGTGTTTTTATTTTTTTATTTGCTTTTATACTTTAGAGGTAACATTGAGTTATGATACTGTGTATTATTTAGGAGAATAGATTTACACTTCCTCAGAAGTAGATCAGCTTACCACACCCACCACCAAAGCATCCTTCTACTTTTCTAGAGGCTGTTGGACCCCCTTTGTCCCTACTCCCACCCTCCCCCTCTAGCAGCCTCAGTTGTACTATCATAGTTCTAGGGTTTCTTTTCATGTAGTTTTGTCAGTTGATTTGTATTGTTTCTCTATATTTTCTCTATATAAGTCAAATTGTCCAGTATTTCTCTTTCTCCTGATTTATTTCACTTTGTATAATCCTCTCCAGTCCCATGCATGTTGATGCAAATGACAAAAGTTCTTCCATTTTTTATAGCTGAATAGTATTCCGTCATGTATATGTGCCCTAGCTTCTGAAGCAGCTGCTCTACCAACTTAGGTTGGGCCTGTAACTTGGCTACTATAAATAGTGCTGCAGTGAACTAGGAGTGCACATATCCCTTCAAATTAATGTTTTGCATTATTTTAATAAAAGGTGGAATTGCTGGATCACATGGTATTTCCATTTTCAGTCATTTGAGGAACCACCATATTGTTTTCCATTGGCACTGGACCAGTCAACATTCCCACCGACCGTGTACAAGGGTTTCTTTTTCTTCACACTTTTGCCAACATTTGTTATTTCTGTTTGTTTTTTTTGTTATTGTTTGTTTGTTTATGGGCCATTCTCATAGGAGAGAGGTGGTATCTCTGTTCATGATTTTAATTGGATTTTCCGTGAAGATAAATGATGGTGAACATTTTTCACATGCCCATTGGGCATCTGTATGTCTTATTTAGAAAAACCTCTGTTCAGCTCTTTTGTCCCTTTTATAATGGGGTTCTTCATTTTCTTTTTGTTGAGTTGTAGGAGTTCTTTGTAGATTTTGGATACGAGCCCCTTGTCATGATGTGTAGAATATTTTCTCCCGTTTGGTAGGATGTGTTTTATTTTAGTGATCGTTTCTTTCATTGTGCAGAGCCTTTTTAGTTGAACATAGTCCCATGTGTTTGTTTGCGTTTATTTTCTTTACCCAAAGACATGACTGAAGTCAATCTTACATAGTGTTTTGCCTATATTTTATCCTATATATTTTATGGTCCTTAGTCTTACATCCCAGTCTTCAATCCATCTTCAGTTAATTTTTGTGTATGGCATGAGGGAGTAATGTAATTTTGTTTTTCCACTGTGACTGCCTAAGTTTCCCAATTTTTGAAGATTTGTTAACAATAATTTTCTTTTTTCCATTGTATACTCTTAACTCCTTTGTGGTACATTATGTCCATATAAACGTTGGCTTATTTCCAGGCTATCAATTCTATTTATTGGTCTATGTGTCTGTTTTTATTCCAGTGCCATACTGTTTTGATGACTATAGGCTTGTAGTAGCATTTGAAGTACAATTCCTCTGGGTGGGTAGTTACATAAAATCCTGGGGTGGAAGTCTCCACTGGGTCCTGAGGGAGCCTGGGGCAGGAGAAAAGTAGGCAGGAAAGGACCCCCACTTTAATTAATTTTGAAGGATGACAAGGATTTGGGCCCTACAGGAAATAAATATGGCAAAAGACAGTCTAGCTGAAGAAAAGGCACAGCTCCTGGGAAGGTGTGGACTGAGACTAGGTTTCATCCTTTCCATTGGACACATGTTGGGAGAACTCAGGGCGGGACAGAGCATTGTCAAAGACAAATGGGCATCCACCCATTCACGCCGGCGAGAATAGCAGTTTTGGTATTGGCCGTCTCTCTGATTATTTTTAAAGTTGAGCAACTTCCCTTCAGTTTTCTGGGTCTGACCTCAGTTTTATTTGTAATCACAAGATTTGCAAGCCTCCAACTGGAGCAGTTGGAGAAGCTACAAAGTGAATTCCTTGCACGGAGGAAACCTGCCCGGGGACCCACCTGCACGTTGATGGTAAAGCCCTGGCTTCTTTGCTGTTTTCCAGGTACCACGATCAACAGGACGTCACTAGCAACTTCCTGGGAGCGATGTGGTTGATATCAATAACCTTTCTCTCCATTGGCTACGGTGACATGGTACCTAACACCTACTGCGGGAAAGGAGTTTGTTTGCTTACTGGAATCATGGTAAGTGGATTTTGATTTTCTCTTTATTTACACTTAAGATGGCACTTAAGCTGTTGGGGCTTCGTGTAGAAGTCCTTATAAGACATCTGGACTCTCAACAGCAGGAAATCAGTGTCAGTAAATTGGTTCTATGTTGGGAGAGAACATCGACGGTTTTAATTCTTGGCTCGAAGCTCTGTTCACACAGGGTGCTCCAGTGCTATTTGTGGGCGATGCGCTGACGTGGTGAACAGATCTGAGCTGAGTGCTTCAGCTGCAGCTCTTTTAAGTTCTAAGTTTAAGTTTAATTTCCTGCTGTGAATTTGAGTGAATTTCTCCTCTCTGGTATAACGTGGATCGTCAGACAGTCGTCAGGTGTTTCAAAGGGTTAAACAAATACCGTGATACTGCATCTAGTATATTAGATTGTATTAATTATTTTTTAAAATATTTGCTGGGTCCAGTTAGCTGCCAGGCGCTATCCTAGGTCCTGGAAGTTCAGCAAAATAAGACAGAAACGCTCCCTGTTCTGCCTTCGTGGCGCTTATGAGGAAAGATCTATATTTAAAATAAGTAATAAACGATTATTGAGGACCTTCGTGACAAGTGTATTAGGAAGCGAAGCTTCTGATCTGATCTGTGGACTGAGGGAGAGGAATAGGATCTTAGGCAGAGAAACTGATGCCAGCAAACTTGGTTTTGGAGCTGAGGTGGGGAGTGCTGGCGCACCCAGAGGAAAGGAAGAGCATCCAGGAGAAGGAAAGAGCTCCCTGGAAGGGAGTGCAGCCAGGAGGAGCTTAAAACCCAGGCACAAGGGCCCTGGCCCAGGAGTGTGCCAGGCAAAGTGAGAAAGGGCGAGGAGGGAGGCCAGTCTCCTGGAGTAGGTGAGACAGGCGCGCTGCCTCTGGCCACCCAGCAGGCTCAGACACACTGGCTGAGCCCGGGCTGGTGCGCACCACTGTCCAGAGGAAGACCCGGGAGGCCTCCAGGATAACATGGTGTGGAGCCCCGGGCAGTGTCCTATTGACGCGCCATGTTCAAGGCCCTGCCCTATTCATTGCTCACCCCTTGATCATTCAGGGACAGCAGAGCGTGCTTTGGGGCTGGCTGGGTTTCTGCCTACATAAGGGTGTGGGCCGCACTGGGAGGGCCCGGAGCAGGAAATCCCCAGCATTTCTGAAGTTAAGCACCCCCACCCACACCCTGCTCTGTCCACCCCCCCGGGCGGCAGGAGAGGGGCAGGCTCTCCATGCAAGGGCTTTTGAGTGCTGGCCAGTGTGGCCTGTGCCCACGCAGCAGCTGCCCAGCAGGACTGCAGGGCCAGCCCCAGCGGAAGGACAGAGCGCCCCTCCTAGACAGCGAGGCGGGGGAGATGGCCTCCCGCCAGGTGGTCCGAAACGGGGCTGGGCAGCACGCTCAGAAAATGAATCCCCGGCCAGCGTTCAAGTCACCAGCAGTCGTCACGAGATAATGAGTTCGAGACCCAACTGAGGAAAAGCTCATTGAGGAACATCATTTACAGGGCAATGTTATTTGCCTGTAAAGGAAAAATACAGGTGTTCTGGGTTTTCTTTTTCTTCAGTGAACCTTGCTTTTCTTCATGACGGTCCCTTTGGCCCATCGTGTTCACGGTTGGATCACTTTCCCCATTTTCCTCGAAAGACAGCTTTTACTGTCTAGTGGAAAGCCTTGGGGAATTAAATATGCATGGGTGCGTGTCTGGAAGGCCCATCACGGGCCCAGAGAGCATGAGTGATGCTATTTGTAAAAGCAGAGCTGGTGCTTGTAGAGTCTCCTCCTCGTGCCCATGGAAACGACGTCCTTGGTCTCCCTTCTTGGTACCACATCCCCCTTTTTGTTCTAAAACGAGGTGTGACTCAGGGCTTGTGTGAACAGGCTCACTGGGCCGTGCCAGGCTCCCCTTGCTGGCAAGGGCGCTCTCTCTCCAAGCTTTTCCTTTGTCGCTGTGGTCTGCAGATCTGCTCCTTCAAGCCTCATATGATGGCCACAGCTTTCCCTTGGCTGCTGGAACTACTTCCTTGCTCGGGCCTCATGATTGATCTTAAGGGGGATGTAATTGTATGGGGACTATAACCAAGATGAAAATGCATACATTGTGCAAAAATGAAAAATGATGTAAGAAATATATAAAAAATAAAAATTAAAAAAAGGTAGCTGCTGCATAAATGTTGATGAATAGATTACCTATCAATAAAACCAGGTTTATATATATTTAAAAAAAAACAGAAGTTTTGAGTGACTTTTAGTCTCTAGCCACGACAGAGGTGTTGTGTGTGGTGCCATTTGCAGTGACTCCATCTCTGCCCGCTGAGCTGGTGGTGACACAGTGTGTCTGCTCCCAAGCGGAGGAGCTTCATTCCATCTTCCTCATAAGGAATAGATGATGGCTTTGCTGACCGGGGCAGAAGTCACACACTTGCATCCAGAGAGTCTGTGCAGGCTCCGAGCCCCCTATTTGAAAATCTGTGCAGGGTCTGACTCTCTCCATGTTCCAGTCCAGGGAACTAGGTCTTCCGAGGGTGAGCTTCTGCTAGTGGACTGTATACCCTATATATTTCCTGGGGATCAGGAGAATATGAATGGAGGTTCCCACAAACTACTACTAGAGAGAAACTAGAACTAATGAGTGTTTGGCTGAGAATATAGATTCCTAAGAGGAGACAGTAATTTTTCATTGACTATAGATAAAAGGTCAATTTCCTTAAAATGAAATTTGTTTCTGTTTTGTCAGACAAACTTTCCTTTTCCTTTCTTCTGATTTTAGGAATTTTAAACACCAGCCTGTCCCTTTGGGGTTATCAAGACTAGACATGACTTGTTTTTATTTCAGGCTTTCATTTGCTTATTCCCACTTGGTCTTCTGCAGTGCGTGCTTAAGTAAAATGCACCATGTCAGATTTCCCATGACTCATCTCTCTGTCTCTGTCTGTCTCCCACTCTGGCCTTTAATCAGTTGTGAAAATGAAATACAATTTACAACACTCCTGAGAGAGCCCCGGATGATCCTGAATCATCTTGCTGCGCATCTCTGATGCTTCTCGGTGCTCTATTATATTTGAATTCCCTTTTCCTTGTGTTTATGCAATTTTGATGGAATGTAGGCCTCTGTGCCTTTTTTCATTTTGAAGTAAAATCCAGTAGATCTAAATGCCAAAGAAATTAGCAATGCGCATTTTAGTTATAAAACTAAGGAATTATTCCAGGCCGTGATCTTAGATCTTCACATTTCATTGGGGAAAAAGTTAAGTTGTCATTTCAAAATTTTTCCATACCTTCCTTTTTGTGATGGGCTACATTTTGGGGAGCCAAGGACATTCAGGTCGATCTACAGTACTCTGGGCAGAAATTGTTAAACCACCAAGAGAGGTCATTTTTGTAAGAACCAAATGACTTTATCTAAAAATTACCACTCTTCACTTGAAATAGAAACCATGGATCCCAGACAATCATGCAAAGTTGTTCTTACAATTTTTAGGTTAGTGTATAATGCTATATGCATAGATAATTATGGAACTACTGAAATAAGTGGATCTGAGATACCGAAATGCTTTAACAAGAATTTTACTCAAGCAAGTCAAGTAGAAATTTTCTTGTCACTCAGATCTACTTAGGAATTAGAAGTGAACAAACATCTTTTCCTTTCAGTTTTCTTTAAAACATGAGATCACAGAATTCCCTAACAAAGTCACTCATAACCAAGGTTGTCTTTGCTTGCTTTTTCTTCTTTTACACCGCAGCCTGTAATTGAGAAGGTGCAAAGGACCTGAGAATTTATGATTGGGGGTGTGCTGGTAACAGTGGATGAGTTGAAAGGACTTTGTTCTTCTGTGTGAAGGAGGTGAGCAGACAGCGCTGTGGGTCACAGAGCTGTGGCTTTGGGCAGCATCAGCCAGATCTGCATCGTCCTCCAACTCTGCAACAGAGAGCAATTGTTTCACTTAGCATTTTACAATTTATCCTGTCTGCCATTTTCTATCTGTACATGCAGCTGTAACATGCTGAAAGCTGTAGCTTTCCCTTACCCATGAATATCAGGGACTGTTTCAACCATGGACAATCCTCACTGGCAAGAGTATCATTTATCTTAGCAAGAAGGCAAGAGTTTTATAAATTTCCCTTCTCTATTCCTGTGAATTTATGGCAAAGTCTTATGGGCCTTCTGTTTAGTCTGGTATTTGTCTGTTCTAGTGACACTGAACAGTCTCTGCTAAGTGTTCCTCTGAATAGTGATCTATAAGCCAGTAGCCTTGAGAAAGTCTACCATGGATTCTGCAGCCAGCATGAGGGTGCGTTTCATCCCATTCATACAAAAGTTATGGCTAAAGAGCTCCCAGCTCCTGATGATTTATAAATTTTTGCTCAAGGAGCTAGTGAAAAATGTAGTCAAGGTTTCACACCACCTCAGGATAAGAACACTTGCTAATAATCCTGTCAGTGTCAAATTTAGCCAGTGGTAGAGTCTTGATTTAAGATCACAATGTGACTCAGTTGCTGGTCAGAGTTCAGTAGCTTTCATCCTGAAGGGCGGTGGCATTATATTATTAATTCAGTCAGAGAATGCTCTAACACAGCCTTGAATTAGCTGGACCTTAGAGAAAGCGAGGGCTAACCCTAAGGCCTTGTTATTTTCCTGCTGTTTTCCATCTTTCCACTGAAGGATGTTTTTGCTATGCCGCAGGATATAGAAATCCTGAAACACTAGACTGAAGCCATTCTGGGGTGCTCACATGTGAATAAGCGAGAAAGCTCCAGAACCTGTTTATAGGTCTCACACAACTTACTATCAATTCATTTGGACATGTTTTAATTTATTTATTTTTTTTTTTTGGATGCTTCTGGTGTTTGTTGAATCTCATCAAATAAGGGCCCAGTGTATCTTTAAATTCTTACAATAATAGTGTGTGTATTGTGCAGAGCAGGAGGGTGGTGAGGCTAAATTCCTCACCAATGCCCTCAGGGCACCCTCAGACCTCTCCAAGACAGTTTCCAAAGTGGATGGA